CTTTTCATTAACCATATAATAATTAATTCAGCATTGTCCTAATAAATATATTATCAAACTTTCCACAAAATTACAATTATAAGGGTAAATCCGTCTTTTCCTATTAAAAACTTCATTTTCCAAATTTCCCCAATTATTCCTCCCTCCCTCTGTATATGAAACTACCCTTACCCAAAACTCTCGCTTCTTTAGAATTTCGGATACAAAGCTCTTAAGCATTCGAAACGCACGCCAATGGGAGCAACCAAGAGCATTTCCACCGCCATGGAAGCTAACCAAGCTAAACAAACCGTCGTCAACGGCAATTCATCTGGCGGCGATTCAATCCCCCACTCTAACGTCTCCGTTGATACCGCTCTTTCCTTTCCCCTCATGGCCACTCGCGTCATGTACGTACTTCCCCTGTTTCTTGTTTTCCCCCAAACTTACTCATTTCGAGTTCTTAGCTTGTTTTAGGGTTTAATTGTCATTTGAGAACTTCGGATCTTCTATAGTTGATTCGTTCTGTTTAAGCTTAAGTATCACTAGCTTAAACGCCTCAGAAATTCGAATTTATTCTGGTTTTGTGACGTTTTGCTCTGTTTGTACATCTTTTTCAGCGCGTTGTTCAAGGATATGTTTCCGAAATGGGCTGAGTTGAACGAGTCCTGCTTCTCCGTCGAAACTGTATCAGGCGGCATCACAAATCTATGTGAGCATTTTGCTTTTTGATGTTTGTTAGTATATTGTTTTTATGGAATCTTTTGCTCTATGTAGAGTAGCGAGTTAAGTTTATTAGTAGTATTTATATTTATCTGATCGGATTTTCATACTCAATTTACTGTTGTCGCGTTGTAAAATTGGAAAACCAAAAAAAATAAAAAAGAAAGGTCTGTATTCTCTGGCTGCAAAACCAGCGTTTGGTTGCCTTTTGTGTTTATTTTATTCATTTATATTTTCTGCTTCTGTTTGCTGCTTTTGGTTGATTTTGTGGCAGGTTATTCGCTAACCAATAACAATTTAATGCAGTGCTGAAGGTTTCTGTGAAGGAAGAAAATGAAGAAAATGTCTCTGTAACAGTTAGATTATGGACCTAATACAGATTATGTCATCAATCGGGAACGTGAGTTGCAGGTATTTTCCGATGCTTTTCGCTACTGTTTACAGTAGAAAACTTGCCTATGGGAGAATCGCAATTTTAATTGATGGATTTTGGTTTTTATGATATGAAGCGCTAAAACATTGCTTATAAATTAGCTCAAACCTTGTCAGTGTTATGCCTCCTGGTTCTGAATCTTCGGTGGAGTGTTTTGGTGGACTAAGCTTTAGTAACCTATTCTAGCCAATTTGTGATTTCTTTTGAAAAGTCTTGCTTACATGTATGTATTAGGGTCGGCCAAGGATATGCTAACAACTTCAAGTTCAAAGGGAATTGAAAAGATGGTTTTGTATGTCTTTTGGTGTTTTTCAAACTAAATTATTGCTAGTTATGATGGTTTATCCAGCATTATTTTTTATTCCATTAATACCTTTTTGTTTGTTGGCCTTCTCATTTCATTCTAAAATTGTATCTTTATATTGTGTTTAGGCAATCAAATACCTCTCGGCTGCAGGATTGGTGCCAAGCTGCTTGGTGTATTTGGAAATGGGATGGTACAATCTTTTATACATGCACGTACCTTAACTCCATCAGGTAAGCATGAGTGATCTACTCTGAGAGTTGGCCTTGCAGATGATGTTGTGTTCTTTACACATCAGTTATTTGGGAGGGTTTATGCCTGTGAGCATCTTAGTCTCATGTTCTATGCTGACAACATCAGTAATAAAGTTCTCTGCCTCTTGAACCTTTTATGGTCCAATTATTTCATGACCATCATCAATATTTGGCCTAGATGCTATAATTAATTAGTCGACAAGGCATTGGCTTCTGTGGCAACTAATTTCTACCATTAATAGTTAATACCGACAATTGTTCTTGTAATTAAACTGCAAGTTATTGTTGGACCTGCTAGCTTTGTACTAATATGCTTTTTCCCTGTTTTTCCCTTTGCCAGACATGAGAAAGCCAAAGCTGGCTTCTGAAATCGCTAAGCAACTTCGAAGGTTTCATCAAGTGGAAATTCCAGGTTCTAAAGAACCTCAACTATGGGTTGACCTCTTTAAGTTCTTTGAGAAAGGTTTGAGAACCAACTTCTTTTACGTGTTCTTTACATAAAAGAATGAGATGGGATGTCTTCGGTTGCAGTGGCTTCAATATTTTATCTTCTTTGTTTTGTTTATCTTCAACTTTTGGCTTTTCGGAGAGTATTGCATGTCTGGACTTTGGACTCATTACGTCTGCTTTTAACAATTGTCATTAGCAACTTCCGGGGTGGGAACATTGAGTTTTATTCTTAAGATTATTACCTAGCAGTATTAGATGTATATCTTACACCCGAGGCTTTCTTTTGCAGCATCTTCTCTCCAGTTTGAAGATACTGATAAACAGAAGATATATGAGACAATTTCGTTTCAGGAAGTGCACAAGGAAGCTACACAGCTGAAGGTAAGATCTCTTTTTATGTTATAGTTTATTCATCTGGTGCTGATGAAGGGAAGATGCTATGTATTTCTGATTATATGTTTTGATTCAACATGAAGAAGTTTATCCCTTGTTTATGAGAGTGTCTCTTAATGACGGACCAGGAATTGACAGGTCTTCTCCATTCTCCAGTGGTGTTTGCTCACAATGATTTACTCTCTGGAAATTTGATGCATAATGATGAACAAGGTATGTTTGAACTTGCAATTTTGAGTTTGTTCACTCTGCTAACCTGCCACCTTTCTTCTCATTCCATTGACACTCAAAGAACACCCATACATGCTATTCATGTGTAGGTTGTAATGTTGTATCTATTTACAGTAGACACATCTTGCATTCTACATGTGCTGGTCTCTCTCCCCTCTATCTCATAACACACCCAAACAGATGTTTGTGACACATCATGTGCACACCTTTGCACTCATATTTCAAGACAAGTCCAGTGTCCTTATCCCTAGCAAATTTCCATATGTTGATATTGGGTTTGGTTTTTGCTCTTTGTACAATCAATAGATAAGCATATACTGGTAGTGACAAGTGAAGCAACACTGCTGGTTAGGCATAATATTAAGTTGGTAGATCTGGCAATGTTAAGTTGTAAACGGGAAGGGTGGTTGGCATAGGCATAGATGTCAATATGGGTTCAGGGCAGTGTCTTTATCCAAAGGAATTTTTGGTTCCTGATATTGGGTTTGATATTCAAATTTATGTAATGGAACTGAACCAACACTGTTGCTTAGACATACGAAGAATAAGAATATCTCTAAACTATTGCATAGTATAGTTCTTAAAAACAAAATTCTATTGCATGTTGATTTAAGAATATTCCAATCTCAATATGAGATTTAGTAGGCATAGGCTGCTAGCAATGTGGTAAATCCTGCAAAAGTGTATTATGTTTTGCTAGATTTTTCGTAAAGATAAGGCATATGGATCATAAGGCATTTTCGAATCTTATTACTTGAAACTGCATCAGTTGGGTACTAGTCAGTATCCAAGAAATATCGTCAATATTATCATCTGATATGAATACAACCTCATAACAAGTTCACAGTAGAGTGTGGAATGACACTCATTCAAGGATGTACTATTTGACGATACGTTTTTCACCATGCTAGACTAGGGTTGTAAATGAGACGAGACAGATCGCGAGCTACTCGAGATCGACTCGGTCAAGGCTCGATAAATACTCAGAACGAATGGAATCGACTCGAGCTCGAGCTCGACTCGAATTTTTAACGAGCCGAAATGAACTACTTGATACTCGACTCGAAAAGCTCGTGAGCAGCTCGAAAATATAATATATTATTATATTAAGATTTATTTTTTTAAAAAATAAATTATTAATAATATTAACGTTTATGTGTTGATTTTAAAAAAAACACAGTAAGACTTTCATGTATTTAAGGTTCAGTTTCGAGTTTGAGTTTAAGGCTTCAATCTAGTTAAGTTTAAGATTTTTTTTTCATTTCGAGCATTTTCGAACTACTCACGAGCTTCAATTTAGGATTTCGAGTTCGAGTCGAGCTTAAAAATTTTAAGCTCGCGATTTTTCGAGTCGAGTCAAGCTCTATTTCAGAGTTTTCGAGCCGAGTCGAGCTCGAGTATTGTCGAGTCGAGCTCAGCAATACTCGAGCTCGACTCGGCTCGTTTACACCCCTGTGCTAAACTAATGGGAACAGGATGTCTCATGAAACCCATAACCGAAAGACAGAAGAATGCGATATTGTGTCGGTGCCTAACGGATGGAATTTAAGAATATATATATATATATATATATATATATATATATATTTTCCCGTTTACCTATAAATTGTTCCTGTTTTTTGTGTGCTGACTTAACTCTTGATTTTGTTAATGTCCAGAAAAGCTCTACTTCATAGACTTTGAGTATGGGTCTTACAATTACAGAGGCTTCGACATTGGGAATCACTTCAATGAATATGCAGGCTATGACTGTGATTATAGCTTGTAAGCTTCATCTATATCCTTTGCGTTGCGATTCTCTGTGCTTTCTCGTGCAACGACGATGAGTTCTTGAATGGATTGGCACCTACCTACTGATTATTCAACATGGTGTCGATGCAGGTATCCTAGTAAAGACGAACAATATCATTTTTTCAGGCATTACTTACAACCTGAAAAACCATACGAGGTATGTATATCTGATTGGTGCATTTTGGTTTGACAAAATTGCCCCATAAATCGAATATTGCCGTAAATCGATCTTGTTTACATATTCGCCTTTAAACAGGCTTTTGGACTAGGGGATATATTTAGATTTTAAATTTGTACTGTATGCTTTGTTTCTAGTTTGAAAAAATTTACAGTAAAGCTCCTTTATCAACCACAGGTATCAGAAAAAGATCTTGAAGCTCTCTATGTGGAGGCAAATACATTCATGTTAGCTTCACATTTACAATGGGCGTTATGGGCCTTAATCCAGGTATCTTCATTCCCCAACTATGCTTTTTCATGCCCCGGAAACCATCGCATCCATCCGAGTCATTTTCTTTCCTGCTTATCGTAGGCAAGGATGTCTCCGATCGATTTTGACTATATCGGGTATTTCTTGTCGCGGTACAACGAATACAGGAAGCAGAAGGAGACGATCGTCGCCCTTGCAAAATCTCACTTGTCAAGATCTGGAAAAGCGTAAGATTGTTAGTGTTTCATGAATAGCCGATTTCTAATTTTCTATATGGCTTAGCTCTGTATGTCTAGCATTTCGATTCCTTCCGTGTTAGTATTCTTGTAAAACATTTGAAAGAATAAATTGATTTCGGGTGAATGTCGTAAGATATATCCTTTTGTCTTCAATGATCTTGCCGGATGTCACTGTTGTTAACAGGATCGGATCAAGGTGTATGTTAGCCGGTAGTCGCCTCTATGTAACAGATGGTTAAACCGGCATGTAGTAATTTGATGAGGCGGGTAGAATTGAACAAGCAGTTTCAATTTTCTATATTAACAACTGTGTATCTAACAATCTAGCAAAAACAGAAATCATCATTAATACCAATTCATACCTAATGTATATCGAATCCGACGCTGAATGTTTTCAGTCACGAGAAAAGTAGTCCCGGCCAAGCTGTTGGCGCCTCAACCCTCATCATGTTCAATGGGTACCAAAAGGCTTGAACTACGGAGGAAGCCCTCTGCCGGAATAATTTACGGTTACTATGCTTGGAGAACCTGGCAGTGAACAATGTGGCTTTTCAGCCGGTTCCAGCCGGCAAGGCTAGACCAAAGATTTGTAACCAGGGTTTTGAATTGACCTTTCCCTGCTATAGTTTCCCATAAATGTTCAGCACCAGATCCTCTCAGATCGTTGGATTTTGAAATGTCGACCAGAGATATACTCATATTATTTCGAACGATGCAAAGTTTTCCATTAAGCGGAACAAGAGCTGCCGCCTCCAAAGCCCGAGAGCTGCCCAAGTGTATCCTACTGTCAATATGCTTACTCCAGGAATCGCTCATTTCATCATACACCCTCAGCTTGCAACCATCCTTGCAGTCCAAAGTGTAGAGGTTCCCGTTTAAGGAAGCACGCGGGTTCCACCAGCCTGCAACCATTCCATTAAAGAAAGGATACCAGCTGTCCGTTTCGGGACGGTAGACCTCACTCATCACTTGTCGGTGAGGCCCAAGTCCCTTCAAGAACCACTTCTCCTCGTATACAACCCCAATGAAAGGCACCATGGCTGTGCTCATATCTGAAATAAAAGACCATCTATTCTTGGCGGGATCATAAACTTCAGCCGATCTCAATGACCGATGCACCCCCTCGTTCTCTCCACCAGCAACATACAAGCGATTCTTTATAACACATGAACCGAAAAAATGTCTTCGACGGAGCATATCTGGGGCACGGTGCCATTTCTTTGTCCTGACACTGTAAAATATGACTCGTCGCATTGATCCCTTTAATGGATCTTTGCCACCAAACAAATAAAGGTGACAACCACCAAGGACGGCACATCCAAACCCAAGGGCTTCAGAATATTCCTTCGGGACTGGAGGGAGTGGCTGCCAGAGCTGGTATATGGGATCGAAGGCATGCCAAGAAATTTTTCCGTCTCGATCTCTCTTAATGATGTAAATCCATTCTTCTGTAATCCCAAGGCTCTTACGGAGTGAATAAAAGAAGTTACCTGATACAAGTCTATACCATCTTTTGCAGACCAAACGTAGCTTCCGATGCTCTACACGGGGAACCCTTATTAGGCAAGCGATAGCAAGATCATCGGGGAGTCCCGGGAGCAGAGGGGATTGGTAGCTGCTCATATCACCACGTGTTGCTTTGCTTCTTGTCGGATGGATGGATGGTTTTATACTGGGCTGGAGACACATCTTTGTACCAGGTACATATCATTTTGCTCCAGCAACAGTTTTGAGTCCAGCATCTAATCGGCATAAACAGGTCGTTGTATCAACCTGCCAAGAACATTTACAATTGATGAAGGATTATTATCATCCCTAAAACGAAACTTGTAAGATGCACTAGGCTGGTGTCCGTATCAACAAAACATGGGTACAAAACCACCAAGGTGCCAGTGATGTAATTCATTTCCAATGATAGAGAACGGGTCTAGCATGTAAAATCTGGCTAATAATGTTTGCATCTTTTATGTTAAACCTGAGCAGATATCGAACTTTGTTTTTTACCAGTACGATGAATCTGCATAAGACAACATCGAACCGTTTGGAACAAGGCTAAAACCGAGATTAAAACCAAAGACAATTGCACCAACATAAGATGTTGGTGGAAGTATCATGTCAAAGATGAGACAATTAACCACACACACAAGCTTCAACCCGTAAAAGAGAACCAGAAATCGATGGAATGCTCCGAACCACAATATACCAGTAGAAGAAAATGGATTTTCAACATCAAGGACACTAATGCACTTTCTAAACTAAAAGGAACCGATCATACATATAGCAACTCGGTCTATATCGCAATCATTTGAACCCGGAAAACCTCCTCTAGTAGGTCAACTCTTCGGCTTCGACATTCTAAGCCCTTAAAGGATTCAGAAAACCAACTTTAGGACATATCCATGAAGGATGTAAGTTCAAGGAAACATGTTTCTGAGTACATTTCTAATGTTATTACATTAATAATTTCAATAACATAACAATTCAGTCTAGAGCAGTTCAATTAATATGATTAAACCACTAAATGAAACCCCTTTTAACAGATAATATGATTGAACAAAAAGGAAGAACTTACCAATGGAGGATGAACCATTCTCTCCATGCTTTTAGCTAAACACCAAACCCAGAACACAATCTACTAGGAAGATTCAAGCCCCTATCTCACAATCATCACCATGAATTTTCCATTTTCTTTAGAAGCGCAATCTATGTGATTAGTGTTGAACCAAAAAAAAAATGAAATTGAAAAAGTACCTAAAACTTAAGGATCACACACCACAAAAATCTCAAACCCAAAACTTTGTTTTACCAGATAATCTGCAAACCCCATGTGTAAAATCAAAAACCCACATTCAAAACCCCCATGGTCTCAAAAGGGAGAAAACAGAAACCCCAAAATCTCATCTTTTTCTCGCATGAAGAACTAAAAACTTCCAATGAGAGACAGAAAAGAGAGCACTGAAACAAGAGATAGAGTGCCAATAAATTGTTTGGGTGGAGTTGAGGGCCCATCTATCTACCTTCAATGGCACAGCCTACAAGAATTTATTCAACGAAGGAAAAGAGAAAGGGCAAAAGAAGGAAAGAAAAGCAAAGCTAAAAAACATCAAGAGGAGAGAAATATGAGCCCTTCCATGATTACTCTTTTGGTGATTGGAAGAGAAAGAAATTGTGAACAGCCAATCACAAATAGTGGAAATAGCTGTTTGACTGTCATTCAAGTATGAACAGGTGGACAAAGATTTTTGTCAAATTTTATTAGGTAAACTACGCATTTAATATCTAAACTATCATTTTTTGTCTATTTTAGTACCTAATTTTTTTTAAATCATGCCTAATGTTTAGTTTTCATTTTATTTTAGTATCCGGCCTTTAAAACATTAACGTGTTTAGTACCTACAGTTTTGGTCCGTTTTAGTATATAAACTTTTAATCTTTTCAAAACTTAATGTTAAATTTCAAACGGATACTATAATGAAACAAAAACTAAATTTTTAACGGTGGTACTAAAATAAAATAAAACTAAATTTTAAGGATGATTTTGAAAAAATAAAAGTTTTGATACTAAAATTGATAATTTAATTACTAAACACATAATTTTTCATTTTTTTAACTTTTAGTTTTTTCTTCAGAGAACTGGAAAACACTCAAAACCAGAATCAATGAACTGTGGGTCTCCACAACTCCAACAATTGGGGTTTCTTTTCTTCCATTTTTATTTGGTTTAAATGTATGTATGGTCCCTGTACTATTCCAAAATTTAAAATTTAGTTTATATACTTTTTTTTTGTAAAATCAAGTTTTTATATTATTTAGCGTAATAAAAAAATTATCCAACGTTTACACAAACAATCACTCTGCCCCTATCCTTTTTCAAAGCATTTTAGTCTCAACGTTTTTACAACAAAATGTCCTCTAAGTGGAAGAAAATTGTTAGTTTACTAATAGTTAATGCTTCCTATTAACGTGGCAGATTCACGTGTAATGTCATGTCATCAAAAATATTTTTAAATATATTTTTATAAGTGTATATGTATTTAATTATGATTATAGTTTACTCTAAAAATAAATTTTACCAAAATGACATGGACTTACCATGTCCGTATGAAACATTGATAGTTAGTTAACTAACAATTTTTACCTAATCAGAAGAAAATATTTTTGGGGAAGGTTCTCGTGAAATTCATCTAAATAAGGGGTTTAAAACCTTTGAAACCAACTATGGTCAAACTACTCTTTTTATCCTTCTCCTTTTTACCTCTACTTAAAACCATCACTTATCCTTAATTCTTGGGTCTTACTTGAGCTCAATACCTATATAACTCGATCCCACTATCTTGGAAAGTTTAATTGGATTGACTTAAAGATTTCGGGTTAACCCAAACTATTAACACGGGTTGACCCAAACTACTAACACGGGTTTCAGGGTATTATAATTATACAAAAAACTATGGGTTTAATTCGATGGGTTTTCAAAAATTAATCTTTTCAGTATTCAGTAGATTTAGAGTTAAAATTTCGATAGGGTAGTTATGTTGTACGAAACCTTAATTTAAGGCTAAGGAACGATAATAAATGAGCACGATAAAAAATGTTATAAAAAACCATAACATTTTTAATTGGGTTTAACATAAAATTTTAACTTTTTAACATTTTTTATTGAACATAAAATATTATTCTGAAGGTAATATTTTCGGTTGTTAACTGAAAATATTATAAAGAATGTTTTTAACCGAAAAATATTAAGAAAAAAATAACATTTTAGGTTGCGTCCAACCTAAAATATTATTATTTTTTTAATATATTCGATCGTGTATTTCCTTGTCTTTAAATTAGATTGTCTTTTCTTAGACTTTCTCACTCTCGATAACTAAGATCAACCAATTTGGGGGACAAGACATGGTTGAACCTCTTTCTTTGTAATAAAGTCTTAGGCTCTTAGCTGTGGGGTTCCACTTTTCTTTTGGACATTTCTCGTGCAAAATTCATGCATTGGATTGGGTTCTCAACATTGGATATAGATCCACATGAACATTAGAACAATCATCACAACAATTTCGACCAAAACATTATAACGATACTTAAAATCTAAACAAATTGATATTTGATGAGGTTTCGAGTTTAAATTACTTTTAAGAGATCGTGTCAAGTGGTCTCAATAGTTATTATTCTTTTGGTATTGAAATTTTATTCCTCGTACTCTATCAAGAGTCATATAAAGTTTGAGTGATATATGTTACGTTATGATAACTTGTATGATATAGGTCGTGGGACTGATCTCTTATCTCTTAGTGCACAAATGTCTATGTTTGTGCACAAGTCCTCCCTTCGAGGCACTCCAACTCTAAATTGTATACCACTCTCGACAAAATACATGAGGTAAAACTCTGACGTATGAACCAACAACCAGTTGGTTAAGTGGGATGAGACACTAAGTCCTTTAAGTAAGGTAAGGGGTTCAAATCCTGACGATTGCAAATGGAGCAAACTGGGTTGGGAGGGTCGCTCTCGCCTCTACAGTACCCGATCTAGATTAGTTGGTCAATAGATTGGATATCAGTGATTAATTCAAAAAAAAATCTCTGACGTATGAATCGATTTATTCGAAGTAAGATGAAACGAGAGAGAAAAGCCCATGCTAGATGTATACAAAAAATCCAGCTGCACTTGCCTTCTAGGGTTTGAGTTTTCTCTTTCTTTAAGCTAGAGAGAGTGATTTTGAATTATAAATTTTCGTTAGGGTTAAAAATATAATTTTACCATTATATTAACCGGTAACCTTATAATTTTTTGGAAGGACTAATTATGTATGATTATAATGGGCTAATTATACATCTTAATTAGGTTGTTGATTCACATTTTATATTACTTCAAAATTTTCATTCATTCGACACATCATAGATTATATGATATGGGATATCTTAAAAAATATAGGTAAATTTCAAATTTGACAACTGAACTTTCGTATGATTTCTATTTTACTCACCGTACTTTCAAAATTTTCGATTTACTCACTCAACTTTATAGATCAAATTTTTTGATCACCATGCTGTTAAACTTCTCACATCGTTTGGATGTGGCTTAAAGAAATTGTTTTTATTCGTTAAAAGACACAAGGGCTATGACAGGTCAGAAAAAAGTAAAGGATTTTTATTTTCCACGACCACCTTATTTGTCTTCATTCTCCATCACTCATTTTCTCCATCACCCCGTAATATTTATGTTTAATAAAATAAAGATTACCAACCTCCAGTTGGTTTAGTGAGATGAGACATTATGTCTCTTAAGTAAGGTTAGGGTCGAATCCTGACATTTGTGAATGGAGCAAACTGGGTTGGGAGGGTCACCCTCGCCTCTGTAGTACCCGATCTAGATTAGTCGATCAATAGATCGGATACCAGTCATATGGTTGCAAGAGAAAGAAGATGTGTTTTAAAGGATTTTTAGGAGAGAAAAGGGATTTTTTTAGGTGTACACTTAGAAAAGGAATGGTTTCTAGTAGAGATGGGTCTTGAGAGAGATGGTGAAGAGGACAATGAAGAAACATCAAATATGACATCTAAATCGTTTGAATAAAAAAAATTACGGTTTAATACACTTTTTAGTGTCTAAATTATACTTCAAAATAAATTTGGTGTTTGAAAAATTTCTCGTTAAAAATAAGCGTCTATTGTTTTCAACATTATACTTTTAGGTGTTTGGACCGTAATGACCGTAATTTGATTGTTATTTGTCACGTGTCCAGTGTCGGATCCAGAAATATTTTTCAAGATGGACACATATGCGAACAGCATAATTTTTTTAACGGGATGAGTACAAATAAAATCTCAGTGTGGGCACCGTAAGTAAAAGAAGTAACTAATCGAAGAAAACTCAGATTTTAGGGTGGGCATAAAAATTTTCAAGGTGGACATCATCAGTAAAATAAGTAATTAATCGAAGAAAATTCGGATTACAGGGTGGGCATGTGCCCACCTTGAGCAAGCTATGACTCTACCACTACATGTGTCACACATATAAATTTTTAAAAATTATTTTATTACAAAAAACTTAACATTATAATTATAAAAAAAACTCCCAAATTTTACATCTTTTGTCTCCAATCGGCCACCTTGGTTCGTGACCGTCATTGTTGACAATATCAGAACCGTTTCGCCGCAACGACCAAAACTCAAACCCACACCTATTGTTAAATTGCGTCGATCGTAAAAAATGTTGTTAAGGGTCGTCAGATTTTTAGGTTTTCGTTGTTTTGTTCGACAATTTCAACGGCTATAACTATCTATACGTTGCACGACCGCCATCATTGAGTTTCTCGTCCTGCTCCGAACAAAACTCGACCAATGATAACCCTTCGCCGTCAGAGGTAGAGAGATGGGAGGGAGAAGGACGACGCGGGGAGGGGATTTGTTTTTAAAATTTTATTTTTTTTTTGAAAAAAATATTTTATTATTAAAAAATTAAATAATATAAAAATATAATGATATACACCTAAAAGTGTAACAGAAAAAATGTTAAACATATTTTTAGCAACAAAAAAAAATAAGACACCAAATTGTATTTTGAGATAACTAAAACACCTAAAAGTGTATTAAGCCTAAAATTATATTAGAATAACAATTTTATAGAAGAAAAAAAATAGAATTATATAGAACCAAAATAGGTACGCTTTAGTTTGCTTAAATAGCATAAGAAAGACATAATGTCTGATTCAAGAAAAAGAGGGTAAACTACCTATTCAGTCATTCAACTATTATTATTTTCTATTTTTT